CGCCTGCTCCTGTACCACCTTCAAAATTGTTACCTTCGAGCCCATTCTTGCAGACACCTGGTCTCCCCATCTTGTTGACGGTCTTCCTTTTTTTTTTAAATGCCCTTCTACCTTACCAATAGGAGCCCTGGTGAGAGAGGGGGCTGTGCATTGGGCTGCTAACCACAAGGTCAGAAGTTCAGAATCATCCGAGCTCTGAGGGAGAACGAGGAGGCTTTCCTGGTGCGTCAGAATCGACCCCATGGAGCTTCAGTTCTCCATTGGGGAGCACGGCGCTCCTTTCCGAGCGGTGCTCTCTCCTGATACCATGAAGTCTCACTGTCCTCCCTTTGAAGGAGTATGTCAGCTGTACTTCTTCCCAGAGCAATCTGTTTGTTCTTTTGACAGTCCTTCTTACGTAAATAGATCTTAAAAGAGTCTAATGCTCAAGACAGACCTTCTTTAATAGTGAAGTTAAACAACTGTCTGGTTTTAAGATGACTCCCAGGGATCATTTGGGTTTAAGGTTTAAAGATGATCTCAGGACAGTAATTTCAGGAGTCCGTTCAACCTCCATGTCTTCCAAAGTCTATTAAAATGATAGATTCCCGCCCCCCTCCCTTTTGACGAGGATTCTTCCAGAGCATTGTGATATACCTGGGAGAGGTGCAGACTTCAACCAATTCATGGGAAATTCCATTCGATTTTATTTTCATTTTTCCATGAACTTTTTGAAGCCCCTTCAAAAAAGTATATGCGTGTGTATGCTGTAAAATATATTTTCTAACAAGTATATATATTGTAAAATATATGTCTTTGACAGCAATAAAAAAAGAGGTAGAAGAGCCACGCTCTAAGCTCTGACTGCATGGCTGCTGGTAGATTTTGTAGGCTTGAAACTCCAAGAAACACTCTTCATGGGGCAGTGTTTCCTGTCTGGTGTAATCAGAAAGTAGCCTAGGAAGGTCGCAAGGTCTCTGAAATCACAAATGTTCAAGAACAATAACATTCCAGCCCCGGTAACCTGAGGAGAGGCACTAACACCCTGGGCCCACTGGACTTCCTTAACAGGATGACAAATGTTACAGAGAAAGCACAGAAACCCAGTGCCCGTCTGTTCACTGAACTCAAAAGGGGGGAAATTGACAAACAGAATGATTCAAAATACTGACCTAGACTAGGAAAGGAGATGAAACGGGTGTTTGGTTTAACAACTTCTTCTAGTTGAGATCTTTTTATTCTAATGTGAATTTCCTCCATCGCCTCTAAATCGGTCCAATCCCAATGCTAAATTTGCATCTCACCCTTGACCAAGCAGATTTTGATATGCTGATGGCCTGTACAGGTCAGGCTCCCAGGGAGACCTGGAGGGAGGTGCTTCGTGGTCCCAGCTTCCCTCCACCTTCAGTGGTTCTCCGCCCCCCCCGCATCTGCTTTATTTTTTTCTGGCACTCCCACTGACAGACACAAGTCCATCTGACTCCACACCGCCCAGCCCTATTCTACAAGTGCTAACCCCAAACCCACCTAAAGTTTGACTGGTTGCTTTAGAAACTGACACAGATGGCAAGCAGCGCGTCTGAGAGGCCCTGGAGGTGGGCATGAGCTCGTGAGGAGCGAGCGGAATCCTGTTTGTTTGCAATAATTCCAAATACCTAGGAGTACAAGAAAGCGACTAGACACAGCTGAATCCCCTGACTCTGTCTCGCCACCCCCCCCCCCACTGCTCTGCTTTCTACTCAGGGGAGTAGAGTGGAGAGTCAGCTCCTCACCCCGCTACACAGAATTCAA